GTCTGAAAGCAAAGCAGCCGCATCATCCAGATCCCAAGCCGCTTATTGTCTCGGTGGCCGTGCATTAAGAGGATATGTATCTGGAAGAGGATCAGAAAGAGTTTGAGCAGAATGAGAAGGAGGGGGCGAAGGAGGAGAAGTAGGTGTAGAAGGAGGCGACCCCCCGTGGAGGAGGAGGTGAAGGAGGTGGAGGAGGAGGTAGGGAATCACCTCAGTTCTCGCGAGGTCGATACGATAGTTGAGGTCTCCCATCCATATCGTGAAGTCAGCAAGCTCTTCTTCTCTCATGTCCTCCAGGCCCTTGTGAATATCAGAAGAGAAGGAGAGGAGAAGGAGGAAGAGGAAAAGGGGAGGAGGAGGAGAGAAGGAGAGGAGGGGAGGAGGAGACCTGCTCTAAAGAGTCGTCGACAATTCGACGAGACCTGCCCGGCAAGAGAGGCAACCAAGAGATGAGAAGATAGCAAGAATGACATGAGACAAACCTCCACGATGGGACGAGAGCAGCAGCAGCTGGGAATCGGATCAGCGGGGTGGTAGAAGAGAAGGAGGAGCATCACCCTGTCCTAGTCTGATCGAGGATGCGCCTCCACGTCTACGGGGCATCATCTGCCGACCTCTCAGTCTCTTCCTGCCTCCTCTTCATCCTTACCTGTTTCGTCAGCCCTCGCTCGATCTTCCTCCAATCTTCGTTCCTCTCCTCCACCTTCTCATTCCCATCACAACTCCCTCCCCTTCTCCCTCCTCCCCCGCTGTTCCCCCGCCTTTGATCCTCCTCTCCCTCCTCGCCTGCGACTGATGTGCCGAGAGATGAGAGTTTATGAAGCACAAACTTCGATCGCCCAAAGAAAATTTGACGGCTATGCCTCCCTGTTTGCAAGGTCAACCAAACACCAACTTGTCCTCCCTTTCCTCCTCGACCTCTCCCTCCCTCCCTCCCTCTTCCTGTCTCCCTCCCCTCCCCTCGCTCGCCCTGTTTGTTTCCGTCCCCCCCTGTCTCTTCGTCTTCCCAACCTTATTCCCAACAAGACCCAAGAACCCTGTCGCAACGTGATGAATCTGCGACAACGTGCTGGTCAAGCAGGTAGAGGGAAACACAAGGAGAAGAAGCCAAGACTAGAGGCATCTGAGGCCACCTTGACTTGCACTACTTGCTTGAAGATTTCCTTGCGCGCGTAGACCACGAGGTGCATGGCGTTGAGCGTGTAGCTCGCTACCTGAAAGCGTCCGCTCACCATCCTGACCAGAACGAGTAGCAGTTGTAGGAGGAGGAGGCAAAGGCGAGGGGAGGGTGAAAGGGAGCGGGCAACGGAAAGGAGGAGCTCATGAGGGGAGGATGGTGGTGGAAGAGGAGGTGTAAACCTTTCGGAAGTCAGGCCCGAGGATCGCTTTCACTCGTCGCTCCCACTTGGCCTTACTAGCGGAGGGTCAAAAGGTGCGGGCAGATCGAGTCCTCGAGGACCTGGGACGGAGAAAAGACTGAAGGGTACCGCAGTTAACCATGCACTCCTTCACAACAAGATGTTAGACTAGGAAGACAAGCATAGACTACTCCTCTGCTCTGCTCTGCTCTGCTCTGCTCTGTTCTCTTCATTGCATCGCTAGCTTGGCTTGGCTTACTTTCTCTGTCTGATCTCCCTCACGGCTTCTCTTCATTTTCTCTACCTGCGTTGCCATAGCGAAGATGTCAGTGTCCTCCGATGGCGTGATGCCGCCGATGCTAGCAGGAGGAAGCTTTCCCGCCAGGTTCCACGTCACTGCGATGCCGTCACTACCTGCTGTCCTGCCATCTGCCACTTGCCTGCATACACCCGCAGTGGTGGAGACTTGTCCTCCTGTAGAAGCTCTTCACCTGAGACCTTGCGACCTCCTCCTCTCTGTCCTCATTGCCACTCCTTCCTCTCTCGCTCCTTCTCGTCTTCATTTCTCGCTTGCTCACCTGGTGCTCCTCGAAGTCTCTGCCTAGCGACCTCCCGACCGTCTCGTCCTCTTCGTCCTAGTCAGGCGAGCTTTCAGCATGCAGCAGCATCACCTCTGCCCCGAGCTTGAGCGGCCAGGGACATGAGCTTGAGGTCGGGGGTCATCCCGCACGAGCCATTGGCTTTCGCCTCCTCCTCCACCTTGCGCGCGCGGCTGCGAGTCTAAGCAGAGGGATGAGAGGAGGGAGCGCACGCGTGGGATCGTACCCAGATGAGATGACCATCGGCAGCGGCGAGATGTTCATGGGCAGCGCTCTGTCGCAAGTGACGCCGAAGGTAAGGCAGAGACAGCGGAGGTCGGGGACCAGGGAGGAAATGGATGGGGGAGGAGGAGATGAGGGGAAGCGGAGAGGGGAAGGAGTAAGAGGATGGAAACCTCGTCGAAGTGCGTCAAGACCTCAAGCTTTCTTTTGGCAGGGGATGAAGACATGTCCTTGACTTAGAGCGACATGTCGTGGTATGACTCAGATGCTCCTCTTGTACCCAGATGCTCCTCCTATTCAGCTTGAAGGGTACCGTCAATTCCATCTCAGCCCTCCTCTCATTGTTTCGATGACACCAACCGACATTCAAACACTCACAAGAGGCAAGACGAACCTCTAACAATGTCACGACAATACAAGAGGTTCTTCCTTGATCTCCGCCCATTTCCTCCCCTTCTCTCTTCCTCACCCCTTTCGTTCTCTCTTCAAAACTCATTCCCTTCCCTTCCCCTTTCCCTTTCTGCCCCTCGCAAAATTTTCCGCGCCCCTCCTCCCTACACTGCCCATTTTTGACTGCCCCCAGTCTCCAGCC